ACCTTCATACAATCTTTTTTACAAGTATGGCAGGAAATTGAAGTCCAATCAGGAATCCCATACTTCATCATGTTGTTCAAGCTCTCTTCCTCCACAACCGTAAATGGATGAGCACTCAATGGACAATAATTCCTTCATCTTCATCATGTCAAACTTTGCCCTTAGAGCTAGTAAAATAGTAGTTGCAACATCAATACTGACAGTAAAAAACTAATATGTTGTTGCCTTATGGAAGCTTTTCTCTTTGAACACCGTTTTAAATGTCTATTAAACTTGGTGGTGCTTCTGGTGGCATGTGGATACACTTTTCCTTTTTGTTACCATTAGGGAGTACCACCTTCTTAAACTCCGTCAATACCACTAATAGCTCTTTTTTTTCCTCTGAATTGGATTCTCATTCTCATCATCATTATCCAGCCTACTAATACTTTGTTCCGTATTTATTATGGTCGCATTCAAGTTACACTTATCGCTCGGTGTAATAATAATTGTATCTTGCATTGTAAGGGTGCTAGAGGAACTCCCGCCCATTTACAAACCTATAAAAGAAAAAAAAAAACCAAGATAACTATTACATGCTATAATGCACAAATATATTACACATTTAAACAATACCGAACAAACCCATAAATTGCAAATATCATAATTCACAGCCCTTACGGAAACAAAAGATGGAGGTTAGCATTATTCTGCAATTTAATGTAAAACCAAGATAACTATTACATGCTGTTAATTGTAATGAAATTGTTTGAGTTTGATTAACAAGGGCTAAGTAAATAAGAATGAGGATTTGTTTGATTTTTGTTGTATGCACCTCTTATTAATTTACCAATAGGGGACCAGCATGTAACTTTTAATATTCATAATTGTTCACTATCTTTATTTTTATCATCATTTTCCATTAAATGTGCATTGTAGATCCACTATATTAATTTAATCTATCCTCTTAGTCTTAGTCTTACAAACATGTTGTGTATTAGTGTATACCTTATTTGAGACTTTATGGCTACTACCTGCTAACTCTTTTTGGCTGTAAATTTTGTGCAGATAGTTATTGGTTGGTTCTAGAGGTCCTCACCGTGCACCAAACCTTTTCTGGGTTATCAATCCACTTATCAAATATTTTGCATAATGCTGGTCGGAAAGTTCTGATTCAGCAGTAATGATTCCTTTAGATATTGTTTTATTGAGGATTTGGCAAAATCTAGAGCTTATATGAGATGAATTGGGTCTGTGTGTGAGTGTGACATTGTATATATTAACCAAACTAAAACCAAGATAACTCTGTCAGATCTGTGAGCAAAATAACACACACAAATTCTTTTACAAGTCGACACCTTTAGCAACCTTGACGGCGACCGCGACAACAAGATTTGAAGGGTTAACAGCTGCGACAACACAACGGACGGCGGCAAAGCAGATGGGCTTGTGTCGTTTGACGACGAGGTTTGAAGACAACGACGAAGCAGACGACGACGAGGAAAGACACCAGAGGTGGCTTAACCCTTGCCTGCAATTCTTGACTCCTTTTGGTTTTACAGCAAACAGTGGTGGAGTCGTGTTTTTAGGGCTTAAAAAATTGGGAGGATCTTTGTCATTTTTGCAAACATTTTCCTTCAAAAATTTCATTTTAATCCCCCTTACTTTAAAAACCCCCTAAATTGCCCCTGCAAGTTCAAGCCTGATTTGGCTCGCAAGCCTAACGAGCCGAGCTGAGTCAGGCTCGAACTTGGCTCGTATCCTCTCACAAATCGAGTTGAGCCTATTCAAATTCAATCGAGTCAAGCCGTTAACTAGCCAGACTCGAGCTGAGCTAAGCCTTTTTATGAGCAGCTCAATTCGTTAAACAATCCTACAATCATGAGATTTTCCACCCTAAATATGCGGCGATTGTCAAGTATTCTTATTTATTGGCCTTATTGGAATATTTTAATGCATTTATATCCACTCATTGCAAAGAAGTCACCAAAGCTTGCAACATTTCAATTTTTCAATAATATAAAATGCGAGATTTGTGATACATTGAATTATAGATTGACTACATTTGATATATGAGCACCATTACAATTACAACTTTTTCATACAACCTTGATGTGACAACTCGCGGTTGGTCAGCTTGTAGTGGGTCTCGTCTGTCGAAATACAAACTGATCAATCGCGAGCTATCACCTTAAAGTTGTATGAAAAAGTTGTAAACGTAGTTTTATTGTTAATATAAACAATAAAGATTGACTCACAACTCAATCTTACAAATTTTCTCTCACAACCCCGATATGACAGCTCGTAATTAGGCAGACGAGACTTTTTACAAACTGATCAATTGCGAGATGCCACGTCGGGTTGTGAAAAAAAGTTTGTGAGATTGAATTGTAAGTGTAGTATTGTCCATATATAAAACATATAACTTAGAAAAATAAAATTTTTAATATTTTGACTATTAATAAAATTAAATTAATCAAGGGACTTTTAACTTATCATGTTTTGAACAAAATTTATTAAGAGAGGCTTTTCCATTCATGAACTACAATTACTTCTTGGTTGTAGCAATTGTTTCAACAATACTTGCACTCTTATTCAAGTATATAGTTATGTATTATAATACGCAGGAAGATAAACTAAATAAATCAATGAATGTTAAAATTTTGCTTGAAGCTAGTTTAAATTCCATTATTCAATGTTTCACTACAAAATATCTTAAACAAGAAACTACGATCATAAATAACATAAATAGGGAGGCCACATTAATTAGGAGCCCTAATATCTTTCAAAAACTGCAATTTGATCCCTTGAGCTTAGCTAAGGCATCTCTCATATTGATCCTCTGTTCAGGTGACTTTATAAAACAATTCAAAGCCAAATCCACGATGCTTAATAACATGCAATTCAATTTGGCAGCAAAACAATTATGTTCTCTTAACAAATTAGCATCCACAACTTCAGTTACGGCAAAAGATGATTTCAAATTTGTGACTTAATGTGATTATGTGATTTTGAATTAGAGATAAACTTAACAATTAAGGTAGATGATATGTCAAATATGTAAAGTTGTCACATCAGTTTATAGAGAATAATTTGTATAATTAGTTTGTATATGTAACATTACTCATAATCAAAACCTGGGATAAATACTTTCCCATTTCATTTTCTCTACAAAGGCAATTTCTGGCCATTGAGATTATCTAAAAGCTTCTTCATGATATGGGTTGGTATACTTTGCAAGAATTATTGGTACCAACTATTTAAGTGATTTATAAATAAAGTGAATTATAATTACTGCTATGTACAAAAAGAATAATTTAAATACAATTATTTAACATATTTTTTATTAATCTTCCTTCGAGACAATTGTAATAGAATAATACTAAAATATTACATTCTTAAATATCCAAGATAAAAAAATTCATTTTTCAAGATATATACATTATACACTAGTCGTTCCTTATTAATTAAGTCAGGTTGGTCTGCAATCATATAAAATAAAAAAAGAAAAAGATTGAAGGGACGTTTTCTTTTTCACATTTATAATTATCTCTTATTTTTCTCTTTTTACCTTAATTTTTTGTTTTCCAAGTAATCTCTCTCTCTCTCATCCTTTTTCCTCAATTTCTGTAATCCATGGTAAAAACCCAATCCTGTCCCTTCTCTGTCCCATACCTAACATACTTTGTTAATTGTATGATAAAATAAGCTTGTGTTTTTTTTATTTTCCTTACACTTTTCTCTCCACTTTTTAGGGGATTTTGATGTCATTCTCTTCTTAACTCTTTCTTTCTTCTCTCTTCCTTATTTGATGATGATGATGATGATGATGATAATGATGATACATCATAATCTCTCTATAGTGATACTTTATATATGAATAATCTTCATGTAGTCATGAAAAATTATAATCCCAACTTAAGTTAGTTATAAATAAGAATAAATTTCACATTGTAATAAGTTATAATTATTCTATATTCTGTCTTAAGGAATTTGCCTCTATATAGTAATAATTATATGTATATTACAAAAAATATATACTATGTTACATTAAAGGTTTAACATGAAATAAAATATTTATCTAAAATTGTTTGAGACAATGATTTATGTTTTAGAGTTGTTATTATATCTTTTATCTTGCATATATGTAATAAGTCGCCAGCATGACACCTTCTTGTTGAAGCCAAAATAATTCTAGTTTCTCAAGCATGTTTAGAACTTCTTGGCATGAAGTTTTGATATTTCTATACTATCATTCTCAGGATTATCTTTTTTTTTTCTTGTCTAATTCCAATAATGATTTTTTATTCAGTTAAAACATACAAGATTTGTTGCTCATTTGGATGATTGAGGAAGACATTAATATCCATTTGATTAATGTAGTGAAGTTGTCGAATTTGATCATTCAATTCTGCAATAATTTTTTATATTAATTTTTGTACTATCCTAATGCTACTAAAACAATAAATTAAAACCTTAATACTGTTAACACATGAATTATAAAATCAAAAATCAAAACAGTAATTCTTATAATTACACTTCTATTAAGTTATAACCTCCTCATAATAATAAATGTAGTTGGTTCCAACATTATGACCATAAAGAGGTTCTATTGTAGTTGTTTTGACGATTTTCTTTCCGGTGAATCTCAAAAGGTTTAAGATAATTTTAATATTTTTATAAATTAGTATCTTAACTTATAGGATGCGTTTGGTTCAGAGAATGTTAGATTATTAGAAAGTTAGATTACTTTAAAGATAACTGAGAATATTTAGAAAAATGAATGTTATTATATTACGCGGAAAATGCAAGGGGCCACAGTTGGACTACTCTGGTAGTAGACAGTGAAATTGATTGGGAATATGAAAAAGGGTCTTTCCTGACTCCTTCCTCCTTCACACCAATCATTTCTGGAACTAAGTAAATTGCACATACGCGGAAAATGCAAGGGGCCACAGTTGGACAAGTCTGGTAGTAGACAGTGAAAGTCAACGAAAGAGAGAGGCGTTTGTTTTGAGTTGATTAATTTTAAGCCTTTCGTCTTTCATTTTGCTTCCAAACTCCAAAAGCATGCAATGGCAGACATACATGACTCAGTTTCTGGAACAAATCATGATGAATTTGTGAATGACGAGCTTTTCTACAATCTGTTGGCTGCTGCTGACTCACATGAAATTGAGAACCAAGGTGATCATGATCCTCTCTGTTCTAAGCAGCATCCTCTGCTCAATCTTGAAGGAATATCGGCTTCAACGTCGATAATGGAAGTTAATGAAGCTGACTGGGACTGGCTTCATCCCTCTCAGCCTGGAAATACTAGTCTTTGCTCGCCTGCTTTTGGTTCTGAAGGAGACAACAATGTTGAATTGGTGAGGAATCATCAACAAGAGATTCAAAATCTGGTAAAGTAAATGAATATTACGTTATTTAATATACTTGGTTATAATTTTCTCTTCTTTATTGTGTGAGAAATTTAAGGTCTGAAGTTTCCTTGGTTGGACTTTTTAGTTTCCTGCAATAGAGATTGTTGTTTCTTGTAGTTGTTGAATGGTTATTAGAAAGAAAATTAGTTGACAGAAAGGAAGAAGTACCGGTTAATAACAAATATGTATATGGATCAATTATGTGTTCCATTTTATCAGATATTGATGTTATATGAAATCTGTATTTTGTTTTACATTGAATATCAGTGATATCACCTTGGATGCTATCAAATCACGTATTGATTACAAAGAAACTATCAATGATCGTGGGATTAGTTCGCTCATACCATTTTCTGACTTACAATATAACACATCAGTGGCATGGTACTCTTTCTGGTGCTATGTTAATCTAGAATTGAAATCTTTTCACAACAAATAATTAGAATTCCTTTTCGATATAGAACAGTCTTGTCAACAAATTAATTTGAGAGTTTTATTGGACAATACAGCAAAAATGGGTATTTTAACCAGCACATTTTTCATGCTGAATCAATGACCTATGTATAAAGTAGGAAGAATTCTTTGAATTTGAAGTAAAAAGAAAAAAGATCTGCTGACAGTTTTCTATTTTTTTTTAGTTAGAAGAGTCCTCTGAATATTTGGTCATGTATTATTGATCAGTCGGTACATTTTGGAATATCAATAAAGAAGAGAGGAAGAGGAAATGCTCATTACATTAATAAAAAGATATAGCAGTCCTCCCATAGATAAGTAGCTGAAGTAATTGAGTGTTAGAGCCAATAGAATCGAAAGAAATATGTTTGGTTTAGGAAGGGGTCATGGAAGTTTGGAGGTTGATAATTGTCTTGTCTTTTAATACATTCTTTCACCATGAAGATCAATTGATTCTGTTATCAGATTAACACTAGCTTTCAAAAATGTATTATCTTGAGATGTGTAAGAAACAAGAAGTATTATTACAGAACTTGGATGTGTGCAAAAGTCACAGCGAAAACATTTATTTTGTAATTCTCTAGGAAAGCAAATAATAAGGTTTAACTTGTTAGCTGTTTGTAAGCATTCAAAATTCTACCAACTGGTTTGTTTCTCTTTTTGATGTCAGGTTCTGATGGAAAAAGGTTATAGAATTGTAACTTCTAATGTTTTAATAATACTAAAACAATGTGTCCGAAAGATTATTTGTAATCAGTTTTCAAACTTAGGTACATCTACTTTTCATTTGTAACAGGAAATGGAAAATTCAAACCAATACATTCCCAGTAGGGATATTCCTAGATTGTCATTAGAGAATGATGACAATGATGTGATGTCATCCGAGTATAGTGGTGGTGGTGAGATACATTCTGAACCAACTGTCAATTTAAAGTAAGTTAATGCTCAGTCTCCAAAAATTGGGATGGCGTTTTCATCTGAAGAGGAGGCTTACAATTTCTACAAAGCTCATGCTAAAGAAACAGGTTTCAAGGTAAGGAAAGGAAAGATACGACGATTGTCAGATAGAAGCATTAGAACAAAATTTTTCTTGTGTTCAAAACAGGGTTTTCGAATGCAGAAGCAGGCTAACAAGACACCAAACTATCAGAGAAAAGAGACCAGAACAGGTTGTGAAGCCATGGTTCATTTTACAGTTGACAATGGAAAGTGGCTGATCTCAGATTTTAATCCTAAGCACAATCATGACCTTCAAGGAAAGTCGGATATCGTTGTAGGTTCATCCACCAATGTCTCATGTGATCATTCTATGAGTACCACTATGAATGAAGCTGGGACAGTGAAAGAAGCAGGGGCTGCAAATTCTGTGGGATTTCATAATATGGAATGCACTAGCATCTTAAATGATGAGAAAGTCATTGGCCTACAACTTGTAGATGGACAAAGTTTACTTAATTATTTCGGACGTATGCAAGTAGAGGATCCTTCATTTTTGTACACAGTGCGAGTCAATCATAGAAACTGCCTAATGAATTTCTTCTGGATGGATGGAAGGTCAAAGATAGACTATGATTACTTCGGGGATGTTGTCATTTTGGACACAACTCTTCGAGTTGATGCATATAATATGACATGTGCACCATTTCTAGGAATTAATCATCATGGGCAATATATCTTATTTGGAGGCGCTTTGTTGCTTGATAACAGCAGAGACTCATTCCTTTGGTTGTTCAGGACTTTTCTGGAAGCGATGGGAAACCGTCAACCAAAAACAATATTCACTGATGGGTGTCAAGCACTGTCGGACGCACTAGAGGTGGTGTTGCCAGATACTAAACATCTTCTTGGTCTACGGTATATCTTCCAAAATACTGCAGAGCATCTTTCCAGCTATTCTGGACAAACTGATTTTGACAGCCTCTTCAATAAATGTATCTTTGATTGTGCATCAGAGGAGGAATTTGAGTCCATGTGGGGGTCTTTGCTGGAGCAGTATAATCTTTACGAAAATTCATGGCTTAAGGATCTGTATGCATTGAGGGGAAAATGGTCTCCGTATACCTGTAAGAGTATCTTCTCTGCCGGCATGCGATCACCTCAAGGCTATGAGAGCTTTTGCAAAATTTTGCAGAATTGGACTAATGAGACGATGACTCCATTGAAGTTTATTCAAAAATACTTAAAGATAGCAGAACAACAGCGTACAGAAGAACTATATGAAGATTTTCACTGCCATGGAAGTGCAGCAACAACAATTTTAAGAAGCAATGCAATGGAGAAAGAAGCAGCAAAGATATATACTTCTGCAATATTCAAGATTTTCCAAGCTGAGTTGCTTGAATGTCTGTCAGTAGCAGTAGAAGAGATTCCAAGTGATGGGATGAAAACTATATTCATGTTAACAGAGGGAGACCCTCGTAAGGAGAAAATTGTTGAATTCAATAGTTCGGAATCCCATGTCATATGTAGCTGTAAAAAATATGAATCAGTTGGAATCTTATGTGTCCATGCTCTGAAGGTATTGAATGCTAGAAATATCTTTCATATACCTCCTCAATACATTTTAAAGAGGTGGACAAAGTCTGCAAAAGATGGGATGGTTGCAGATTGTCATGAAGCAGAGGTTCCTGCTGAAAGCCAAAGGCATTTACATCCACTTAAGAACAAACTTATGCACAATGCCCTGAATGTCATCACTAAAAGTTTAGCTAACGAGGGGACTTCGATGATAGTTGACAATCATCTAAAAATGGCATTGAGAAAGGTAGAAGATGCTTTAAGGACTAAAAATATTGGACATCTTAACACAATTGATGTTGATGTTCACTGCAACGATGATGCTGTTAGTGCAAATCACATTGATTGTACGGAATCAGAACAGACTATAGCGAGTCCTTCAAGGATAAATCGACAGGAAGTGTCAAAAAACATAATGAAATGTCAGTTGAAGAGGAAATATGAAAATGAAGTGAGAGAGATGAACTGTAAGTTTAGTGATGGTGTGATTCTCCATTATATTCTCAATTGTTTGGTCTTTTTTAATGCTTATAAATATAATACACATATTTAGGGGGAGGTTGTCAAGGATCAAGAAAGGGAGCTAGTCGTTCATATTGCATAGGAGAAAATTCCCGACAATCAGCCTGCAACTCTCCTCGACCTCCGTTACCTTCACAATCCACTTTCCACCAAATCAGACAACCCAGCAAGTCTATGGGTAACATCCAGGTAAATTGATATTAAGACTATAATTTAATAATTTGAGGCAGTACTTCTGTGCTGTTTATATATATGTATTAAACATGACAGTAGGTAATCTTTATTACTACAATGCTCAATCCACATTTGAAATTGCTTATAAACTTACTAACCATATGTCAAGATAAAACAAGAGAAGAAATTAAATGAACTGTATTGGCGTTCTCTGTTAAGTACACTATACTGTGTGTGAGACACATCATGCTATTGCCAGTTGATCATCATATTTATCTTGTTTAGTTTAGATTTCACCATTAGAATGTTCAAACATTTATTTTTTAATTTACTAATAAATAATCTTTGTAATGCTCAGCATCCATGTTTTATATTTCAATTTTTTATAAACTGTCTTATTAAATATTGTAATTAGTTTATTGTTGTTAGTAAGGGTCTTCATTTCATTTTTCTTTGAAAGGATACCAAGAAACATGGATTGCACTTATTGGCGAATAGGACGGCTGCGGCAGAAAAGAAGATCATGGTAGTATCTTCACACTATCTTAGTGGTCTTTCATTAGTGACATTTATCTTTACTTATATTGTGCGGTTGGAAACTTAGGTAATAATGGAACAATTGCAAAAGGAGATGTTGAAGTTTAGACACGAGAACCAAAAAATCTTCAATTCATTGAATGTTGTTGATTCTTGTTACAACCAAACCACCAAGAAGAATAAGTTCATCTGCCAGGAGAAATCGGCCTTGCAGCATGAATTCCAAGGAATAGGAAGTGATAAAGCTCAAGATTTAGACGCAGGTGAGTCTGTCTAGTTAGCTATCTTATAGCAAGTACTTACCTATTTTCCTTTTGTTTTAACTCCAGAAAGAAACTTTACCTTCTATGATCCTAAATCCCTTTTGTTTCTTGATTGGCAGAGAACTGAATGCCAAGCAGGACAAACTGAACATTGAAAATTTCAAAATTGAATCAAATATAGGCTGTCTGAGTAATCCTAATGAGGACATACAACATCAATGTTGACAAATCTATGCATCCAGACATGTATCTCTTACCATTTGGCTTTTTTTTTTTTTTCTTTTTTTTTAGTATTATCATTTTAATTTTTTATGGGTTGGCTTAGACTACGTATTTAATTGTCAATTGTTGTAGTGTTAAATTAATATTGTGGGAGAAACCTTTGAGACGGTGTTGAATTCTATAACTTCTTTTACATATATGGAAAGGATGCCAGGGGCATCTAGATGTAACACAAAAGAGATGTAAAAGAGAGCATTATATGTTCATTATTTAGTTCATTTATTATCTTTCAAGAAAAGTTCTTTATAAGATGTATCTTGGAATCATCTTGTAGCAATAAGATTAGGGTGCAGGCATGTTTCTCAGTGTTTTCTTATTAGAAATTCGGACTAAATGATTAATCTTTCCAGTTGAAGGTTGTTACTGACTAGTTTTTGTTTCATTATTATGTTCCATTTTGGTTTTGATAAAATGGTAAAGAAATTTGAGCCTTCTTCCATGTCTGATCCTGCAATTACAAAGCAGAGGAGATTGAAGTAATGGAATTGGCTTACATAATCAGATGAGTACACACACAACTGATATTTTCAAGATGATGGGTAAATGGGTTTATAGAAGTTGATTCAGTGAAACAGAACAAAAAGATACCAAAGCCAGAAATACGCGGCCAACAGAGAAATGTGAAAATAATAAAAAGGTAAATAGCTAGATTAAGCTAGTCATTTTACATAAACACTCAGAATCATGAGCTGTGTGAATATGAAGTAGGGAAACATAGGCTCAAGTAACTTCATCTATTACCTTTTATCATGTAATCTTCTTCTTGCTACTCCATTGAAAAAGCATGTTTATGCCTATTCTTTCTGTTCAGTGTGTATGATGTATCACATGACCAGCTTGGGCTACAATTCGTTTTACAAGCGTATGTAAATTTGCTGGTGTTGTTTGTATTAAATGTGAGTGAGTAGTTCAATTTTTCTTTTTTGTTCCCTTACTTTTGCCTTTCTTCATTTACAGGGGAAGTATGTTTCCGTGATTAACAAAGCTATGTTGCACAAGCCAATAAGCATCAGTTGATGATCGTCTAACTCGCCTTTCCTGTGGATATGATGCACCAAAGAACTTAACCAGAACCATCTGTTGAATCCATCTGCACTGCAATTTGAGTTGAGTGTGAAATAAGCCGCATAAGGTTAGCAAGGTGTAGAGAAGGAACAAAGAAAATTGAACTGAATCTGGGAATATGATTGATCCTAAAGATCCCACCGACAGTGAACCAAGCAGTGTCATAACACAATGAAGTTCATCAACCTTATTTGGAGACAAAAAGTTCATAAAGCGTGAGAACTCAATTGCATATGCAAACCAATATGCTAGCAAGCAAGCAATGCTTACCCACATGGTGAAGGGATGCGTATCAAATGGAGAAATGTCTTTCCCTTGATACTTCAACTCAATTAAATTGAGAATGGCTGATATGATAAAGGCAAGAACTGTATGCAGAGAAGTGGGTGCAGGTTGTTCCTGTGGGAAGTTGCTTGAACTTGTAGTGAAGACGGCAATGTTGAAGGAAAGATGTCCTTGTGATAAGAATCTCCCCAGGGGGCGGCTAGGAAGAGAATTAATAGTACTTGTTCTTTCAACATTAGCCATGAGACTATGATTACTATGGTGGGATATGATTACTGTATTTAGAGGAGAATTATAAGTTTAGAAAGGGTGAGTGGTGCATGAATGAGGTTGCCAAATGCATAATTTCAGCTGGCTTTTATAAAGATTTGGAACATGAGTAATATGGTGTAACTAGAAATGTGAACCTGACGTTGAGACCACCCTATAAACACTGCGTGGTCTGTTGTCTAATAATAAAATTTTTAGATGAGCAATCCACGCTACTTACTTTGGAATACTAGAAATTGTGGAAAGAGCAGGACTACCTATCTTTTGTACACCCTTCACTCTTGTTAACTATGTTTCAAAGTATTTTCCTCTCCGTGAGCCCTTATTTACTCTAGTCCTCTGGACTTATTTAAAAATATTTATTGGACGGTTTCTCTTTCAACGACTTCTGCAGGAGGACTTCACGAAGTGATTTGTAATCTCTTTTCCTACTGTACAATTTAAAATAAAACTTTAGTAGCAGAAGGTTTTGAACATTTTCCTCGAAAGGGACAACAAAAATCCACCCACTATGGTGGGGCTCCAAATCCATAGGCCAGTTTTAATTGGTGGGTTTTGAGTGTTTTCGGGCCGTTTTACATAATAGTATGCCAGATAACAATTGATACCCGTATATCAAGCACTTGTATAACAATACATAATACCGCTCGATAACGCTCATATTTGAGTGGTATCGGGTCATTTTACAAAATACAGTATGTCATATGACAGTCAATACCTTCATGTTGGATACTTGTGTTAAATTTGTATAATGACCCGATATCGTTGGATACCCTGATATCGAGTGGCATCGGGTCATTTTACCAAACACAATATACCAAATAGAAACTGATACCTATATGTTGGGTCAAAAATGACACCTAGATAATGGGCACCTGCATTTTATTTGAATAACGCCCGATACCCCTCAACATGGAGGGTAATGAGCATATAGTATTTCGTAAAAGTGCCAGATAGTGAATGATACAAGGGAATTGAACATGAAGAAGTAATTGTTTTTTCTTGATAAGAAGGTACCGAGCACTTAAAACGGTTATCAGGCGTTATACTTTTGTATTAAATTAAAGTTATTTAACGTTGTTTTATGTATATTCGTTAACTAAGGACTGTATAGTATCATGTCGAGATTGTTTTTTTCACAGTTCAAGGTTAAAATATACTATTAGAAATATATGTTACATTGCATGATACTGAGTGAGAAACTAGTATTCCCTTCTAATGAACATGACTACAGAGCATCAGTAATGAAATTGTGCTAGTTAACTTTTTTTTAAGACATAGAGAAAACTAGGGGTGAGCGGTTCCAGGTATCCTCCATTTTTCAGGGGAACCGGAACCGCACAGTGCAGGTTCCCAAAAAAAGGAATCGGAATCGGAACCGGAACCGCACAGTGCAAGTTCTTCAATTCAAGGAACCAAAACCTAAAATGCAGGTTCCGGTTCCTCTCCGGGGTACCCTGTAAAAAATCAATTACCCCCCTATTAGTTTAAAAAATAACAAAAATACCTTAAAAGTTTACAAATACACCCCTAACAAATATACTATTTGGGTTTAGGGTAATATTATAATGTAATATTATAATTAATTAAATTGTTAATCATTTAATTAAGTATTGTAATATTGTTTATAATAGAATATTATAATTAATTAAGTAATCATACCATAAATTTATAATGTAATGTTATAATTAATCAAATTCTAATCATTTAATTAAGTATCTTATAAATTAGTAAATTAGTAATATTTATAATATAATGTCATAGCCAATTAAGTAATCACTTAATTATGTAATGTTATATTAATTATATGATCATACTATAATAGTATAATGTAATGTTATAATGAATTAAGTAATCATACTATAAATCTATAATTTAATATTATAATTAATTAAATTTCAAATCATTTAATTAATATACTAATGTTTATAATGGAATGTTATAATTGATTAAGTAATCATATTATAAATATATAAGGTAATGTTATAATTAATTAAATTTTTAATCGTTTAATTAAGTAATGTAATAATATAGTAAATTAGTAAATTACTAATGTTTATAATGTAATGTTATAAATTCATAACTAATTATGTAATTATGTAATCATTTAACTATGTAATGCTATAATTAAGTAAGTGATCATAAAATATAATGTAATATAATAATATTATAATTTAATTGAGTAATTATTTAACTATAATGTAATGCTTAATTAATGTTTATAATGAAATGTTTATAAGGTAATGTTATAATTAATTAAATTTCTTATCATTTAATTAAGTATTATGCTAATGTTTATGTAGTAAATTATTAATTACTAATATTTATAATATAATGTCATAATCAATTAAGTAATTATTTAATTATGTAATGTTATAATTAATTATATAATCATACTATAATGTAATGTTATAGTGAATTAACTATTAAGTAATCATACTATAAATTTTTAATGTAATATTATAATTAATTAAATTTTTAATCATTTAATTAAGTTTGTACTAATGTTTATAATAAAATGTTATAATTGATTAAGTAATTATACTATAAATCTATAACGTAATGCTATAATTAATTAAATTTCTAATTATAAGTCAATTAATTAACTATTTAATTATGTTATAACTTATAAGTCAATTAATTAAGTAGTAATCAATTAATGTAATGCTATAATTAATTATACTATAAATCAATTAAGTAATGTTATAAAATTATAATTAATTAAGTAATCATTTAACTATAATGTAATGTTATAATTGATTAAGTATGATATTTAACTAGTAATTAAATTTATTAATGTTTATCAATTTATCATATATAATTAATTAATTACTAATTTATTATAGATATACTTAGAACTTGATAATTGAAGTAAATAACTAAATATATTATTACTCAATCAAATATACTATTTTATTCAAAAATAATTCTTTTAATAACATTAAAAATGTAAAACACTTTTAATTGGATCATAATTCCAATTATTCACTTAATTGATCAAAACTTTAATATTAATGTATTATAATATATTAAAGCTTTTAATATGGTGTAATTTATATGTAATAAGTATAATTGTATTCGTATATTTATTTAATTAGGTTATTCTAAAAATTTAACTTTTTCTATTTTAAATTTTTTTATATGTAAAATAATAGAAACCCTCTATTATTCACATTTCACAAATATTTCATTGTAGTCCAGGTTCCAAAATAGGTTCCAAACAGGTTCCAAAACAAGTTTCAAAACAGGTTCCAAATAGGTTCCAAACAGGTTCCAAACAGGTTCCAAAACAGGTTCCAAACCAGGTATCCCCTACAGGTTCCAAACAGGGTACCCTTTTTACATGTTCCGGTTTCGGTTCCTCCACACACAAGAACTGGAACCGGAACCGCACAGTATCGGTTCCAAAAATTTGGAACCGGAACCTACCCGCATAGTACCGGTTCCGGGTAGGTTCCGGTTCCGGTTCCGATTCTACCCCCCGGTTCCGGTTCTACCAGCTACCCTTGCTCACCCCTAGAGAAAACATTAACTAACAAGAAAATTGAAATCTTTAAGGCCTCGTGCTTTGAGAAGTTCCTTGACATTGGAGAGGCAAAGTTTTCAGCAAACTTTGTCTTAAACATTTTTTTACCTCGGTACGTTTGGTTTAAGAAATGTTGTATTATTAGAAAAATCATATTAATGGAAGTGAGAATATTTAAGAAAAAATGTTTGGTTAGGTTGCAATAAATTGGTGGGTATGTTATATATATTACTAGATTACCCTTATTTCTAAATATCAATATAGTATTATTTTTTGAATCATTTTTTAACCCCTTACATTTGAGATTTTGCTAAAACACTCAAACCACATAAAAGTTTAATTTCTAACAAAATCACCCTCACCCACCCTAAGCCACTACCAACCGTTGGCCACTGGCAATCGTCGAAACAACTCACAAACGACCGGATCTGGTCGATCGTGCCTCGATCTGGCAATTTTGGGTCAGGTCAATAGCCGTTAACATCTAGATCTATTATGGCGCCGTGCGCCATGAACCTAGTCGTTAACGGCTAGATTGGCGCACAGCTAGCAGATCCGGCTAGTCATTCGCCGTTGCGACGATGTCAGTCGGCAGCCATTGGTGGTGGCTAGGGAGCGACAGTGGTCTTGGATGGCCTGTAATTTGTTTTAAATATAACGACATTATTGTTCAAAAACTTAATTAATTAGGGGTAAAATTGTAATAATAGATTCATGTAAATTAATTTCAAATTAAAAGCATTATTGTCCAAAAATTTTAATAGTTAAGGGTAAAGTTGTAACAAAATTAAGATTATAAAGTAATTTTAAAATTCCTAAGGAAATAGAGGTATTCAGATTACCACATATATAACTAACAGTAATTACTATTGGTTATAGAAAATTACCAGAATTTTATATTAATTGACAATCAAATATCATAACCTGAGTAATATAAGATAACATTACCTCAATGATGAGAGATAACCCCCAACCAAACAGCACCTTGAAGGTACTTAGATTTTAGGAATTTCAGTGTAAAAGATATCTTCGTTGCAAAACAAGAATGCATTGGCCAGGAGTTGGCGATGTTGTTACTGTCTGCACTTTGATGCTTAAGTCCGTGATTTGGTAAAGATTTAAATCGATTTTTCTTTAAGTTTTTTTCTTTTTCTTAAAAAAAAAAAAAATCTTTTACCTGTCCTTTAACCATGGACTTTAGCCGATAATATATCATGGTCAGTTTCCACTTTCCATTTGGTAAGGAATCTCTTTAGGCAACTATTAAAACTGTATAGTTGTCCGAAAACTTGCATTTCCCAAACTTTAGGGGGCTCAATAATTTTGACTCATCAATAGCGTATTTTGAATACAAGAAAATCTAGGGGTGCGTTTGGTTTATTATTTTAGATAGGATTTTGGGAATAATATTGGGTAGTTGGATAGGAGAGTATTACGAGGTAAAATTTAAAAATTTATAAAAAACCCTCCTATGTTAAATATTATAAAATGACAAAAACACCCCTACCACCCGCAGTGCCAGATTCCGACCACTACCGCCGGAATCTAGTTGGAAAATTTTTTAAGGACACATATCAATTGGATCTGGTGGGTATTCGATCGATATGGCCTTTTCCAGTCAGATCCACCACGATCTGGCCGGAAAATGCCAGATCTAAGGTCGAATGTAGCCATCGACGGTTGGAAAATTCCATCTTGGCCAAAGATATGGCCGTCGTTGTCTGTCAACGATGGCCAAGATTTGGCAGTCATTGACAGTCAACGACGGCCATTTCTTTGGCCGTCGCCGACAGCCATTTCTTTGGCCTTTGGCCTTTTTAGGCCAGATCCACAGTGGATCTGGCTAGAAAAAGCCAGATCAGTGA